ATATTACACTTCACCTCTCCATTCCTGTCAGAGTCAGGGTCATTTACGCTTAGCATTGCAATTACAGTACTCTCAGGCGAGTCTTCTAAAATGGCATCTGACTTAGAGAGTATTTTCAGCTGAGGGCTGTTGTCATTCACATCAGTAACATCTAAGAGAATCTTACTGGAATCAGAGAGCCCACCATTGTCCGTAGCTTCTATATCTATTTGGAAGAGCTTCGTTTTTTCATAGTCTATTTGACCGATCACGATAACCTCTCCAGTTTTTCTATCAATCTGAAATAAATCGGACAAACGACGTTTGCTATTGGAAATTGCGTATGATATTTCCCCGTTAGAGCCTCCATCTTTGTCAGATGCTCTAACAGTTATAACGCTGGTTCCAGCCGGTGAATTCTCGGTTATTGTTGCTTTATATACTGGCTTAGTGAAAATTGGTGCATTGTCGTTTGCATCCAATACGTTAACAGTGATCTGCATTGTACCTGACATACGCGGCTGCCCGCCATCCTGAGCAGTTAATAATAACAATATATGTTGATCTTGCTCTCGATCCAGAGGCTTCTGTAGAATCATTTCCACCTTCTTACTCCCATCCGCTTGGTTCTCTAATTTCAGCGCAAAGTTGTTTGTTGGATTAAGGGAATAGCTCTGGAGACCATTTGTACCGATGTCAGCATCGATGGCTTTCTCCAGCACAAATTTAGACCCAATGATGGTTGACTCGCTGATTTCGAAGCGCTTTTCGCTCGATGCAAAGCTGGGAGCATTGTCATTAATATCTGTGATTTCTATTGTTATTCGAAACAGTTCCATCGGATTTTCCAGAATCATCTGTAAAAGTAAAGCACAGGGCGTCGTGTCGCCACACAGTGTTTCTCTGTCTATCCTTTCTTTTATAAGGAGGACACCACGGTCTCTATTCAGCTCAATATATTCGGCACTATCTCCAGAATGAACGCGCGCTCTGCCGGATTTCAGCCTTTTAATGTCTAAACCTAAATCCTGAGCCACATTACACACTAAAGACCCTTTCTCCATTTCCTCAGGAATGGAGTAACTGACCTGCCCGAACACCGAGGTGAGAAAGAAAACCAAGAAGAACAACAGTACTTGCCGCCTCATTGCTTTGCAGGGATAATCCTGTGTCCTTTTAATAAAACTGCAATCCACACGAATCATGATAATAATTCCGACCATATCTCAAAGACAGTTTCAGCGAAAAAAGAATAACTTTTCGATCTCCGTAAGCGGTATTCCTTATAAAAGAGAACAGGCGGTTACTGTGCGTTTCATTGTCTACCAGTGTGCAAATCTAAAGGGGAGGTACAATTTTCAGCGTTGACGAATGCTGCCATACTCGGGCCAATAGCGGCCCTTTCTGTTCAACAGACCAAACAGCAAAATCTGGAATGAGGACGATGATGATGCTCATAGAAAACAAAAACAACAACAACAACTATTATTATTATTATTATTATTATTATTATTATTATTATTATTATTATTATTATTATTATGACGACTAGTAAACTTTAAAGCTTTTAGATAATCTAACCTGTTACAGATTAGATTATATTACACAACTGACAATGTAACCATTTAAGTGTTTTAATACTTAAAACTAATGCGTCATACCTAATGCCTAATAGGTTCAAAGGTTAGTGACTTTATGCAAGCATATTCACTGGTGGGGTTGTGGCTCCTCCAACACCAACGGCCGTGGCAGGCTAAACATGAGGATACTGACTACACGCAACAATAAACACATAAAATGCACTTCTGAGCTATTTGTTCCTTTTATTCCACATTGTACTGTCCAAACCCACAACTCAGTACATTGGATCAAATGTATTACAAATGCAGAGACTGCACAAACAAACATGACTGCAACTGACAAAATATTACACCAATTGTTATGTCAAACTGCAACAT